ATTCGAAAAAAATAAAATTCAAATCCAGTGCAGTTTTAATTGTAACATGATAATGATTCAAAGATAATCGATTCAATATGGTTCTCAAGGTAATGGGAATTTGAAGTACAATCGATATTTTGCATGCAAGTATATTATGAGTATGTTGAACTTCTCTCCTTGCTTGGTCACTCTACAGATCGTAACAGACATGTTGATAGGCTTGTTTTTAGATGCTTGAACTAAGACATTTGATTTTCATTTAGTTTTGGAATTAATTTTTTTCTTCGAATTTTAATCATTTGTTTTTGAAAGACTTTTTTTGCATATATATGCAATCATAAAATGTATTATTATTCGATTGTTTTTCCGTGCAAGATGGGCTTTTGAGTCCTTAACAGCTCGTAAAATTCTCTACCATGCTTTTCTTTAGACATTTTTGGAGACTTTTAATCATATAAAGAATGTCTCTGTAGGCATATACACTGGCTTCCTCATGTTTCATAAATGATTCCCACATTGAAAGTTTTCTTCACTGAACACTTACCATTCCACCTTTTTCAATCCAAGATGTTTCTTTTGTCGATCCAGTTGGATTACGTTTTGTATTTGACAATCGTTGTCCCTGCACTATACCAGAGAACACGATTAATGGCGTGAATAAAAGTAGAACTAAACTTAGCTTCCAACCGACTATAAATACAATCGTCAATGTACATATTATGGCACCAAGAGCATTGAAAATAACACCAATACGAAGTCCAGATAGACCCTAAATAGACGTTGATTATCAAATCAATCAATAAGCGAATTGATATCATCAGTTTTGTTATAGTACTTTGAAATTTGACGTATCCGATGAGAGTTGAGTAACAAGTGCACCGACACTATTCTCTTCACAATCGAACCAACTCATTTCTTGTCGCAGCATCGAGCCAAACGAGATCATACGCATACGCATGGTTAATGCCTCTCCACTTTTTGCAAAAGCTACACTACTCAGAAATTGACAAAGAGCGCCAACGATGCCGATACAAAAGATGAACAACGCTAAATTGCGTGTTTGAATATTGGCTTTGTTTAAATCTTGTT